AGTGAACCCAGTGGTGGTGAGTGAACCCAGTGGTGGTGGTGGTGAGTGAACCCAGTGGTGGTGAGTGAACCCAGTGGTGGTGAGTGAACCCAGTGGTGGTGAGTGAACCCAGTGGTAGTGAGTGAACCCAGTGGTAGTGGTGGTGAGTGAACCCAGTGGTGGTGGTAGTGAGTGAACCCAGTGGAGGTGAGTGAACCCAGTGGTGGTGAGTGAACCCAGTGTTGGTGGTGAGTGAACCCAGTGGTGGTGAGTGAACCCAGTGGTAGTGAGTGAACCCAGTGGTGGTAGTGAGTGAACCCAGTGGTAGTGAGTGAACCCAGTGGTGGTAGTGAGTGAACCCAGTGGTAGTGAGTGAACACAGTGGTGGTGAGTGAACCCAGTGGTAGTGAGTGAACCCAGTGGTGGTGTTAGTGAGTGAACCCAGTGGTGGTGAGTGAACCCAGTGGTGTTAGTGAGTGAACCCAGTGGTAGTGAGTGAACCCAGTGGTAGTGAGTGAACCCAGTGGTGGTGGTGGTGAGTGAACCCAGTGGTAGTGAGTGAACCCAGTGGTGGTGAGTGAACCCAGTGGTAGTGAGTGAACCCAGTGGTGGTGGTGAGTGAACCCAGTGGTGGTGAGTGAACCCAGTGGTAGTGGTGGTGAGTGAACCCAGTGGTGGTGAGTTAACCCAGTGGTGTCTTTGGTATTGGAGGCGGTGGTGTAGCGGTTCGTGTGCTCCACTATGAACCCTACGACCCGAATTTGAGTCCCGTTCACGGCCAACACCAGTGACGATTAAATCGGTCCTGGGCCTCCCCTAGGTCGACTCAGCCTCGTAAGAGTACACGGTGCAATGTGTAAACATCACCACGACGGAGACAAAGGCGGCCGTGGGTGGTGCTGGCCACCCACCCCCTCGTGCGCCATGACGCCCCTTCATAGCTGATCCCTAACAGCACTTGCCCCAAAAGTCTGGTTAAGGCTATGCGGGGGTCTTTGTATTTGGATGAGATGGAACAGTCAGTGTCCAGCCGACCGGGTCCTCAATGTGGGTGGAGAAATCGATGAGCGAATCTGTTTGAACACCTGTGTACCAACTGTTACACGAATGCCTATGTTTACACAACTGTGTCGTGTCACATGTTAACACCGACTGAGAATGTCATTGGATTTACAAAAAAAATCAGGTCGGAGAAATATCTACGCCTGTACAAATAATTAATGGGTGGGTTTTTTTTTATCTTCTGCGCCCTCGTATAAGTTCAGTAACTCACCATTTTCCGTAAAAAATATTTTTTTTTTAAAACCCCCCACGTGCTTTCCTTTTATGACGAACCATCGATGCCGTGCGACGTAGAGTCGGCGTGTAGTTGTTGTTGTCTTTTTTTATTTCTTCGCAGAAGCGTCACGATTATAGCTGTTAGCAACAATAATTGACGGGCCACGCCGAGTCACAGGACTCTTTTCCAGGAGGGGCCATGCCGATTCTGCTTGCCACGTTTGGCTCCGGTTTCGAAAAAGATGCGTGTCCAGCCAATTGTGTTTATTATACACGTGTCGGGGAAACCGGAGCACCCGGGAGCAAACCCACAACGGAGAGTTCCACAGGGCCACGGGAGTGAAGGCCCAGAGAGTTCCACAGTGCGGGTGTCACGTGAGTGAAGGCCCAGAGAGTTCCACAGTGCCACGGGAGTGAAGGCCCAGAGAGTTCCACAGTGTGGGTGTCACGTGAGTGAAGGCCCAGAGAGTTCCACAGTGTCACGTGAGTGAAGGCCTAGAGAGTTCCACAGTGTCACGTGAGTGAAGGCCCAGGGAGTTCCACAGTGCCACGGGAGTGAAGGCCCAGAGAGTTCCACAGTGCGGGTGTCACGTGAGTGAAGGCCCAGAGAGTCTCACAGTGCGGGTGTCACGTGAGTGAAGGCCCAGAGAGTACCACAGTGCGGGTGTCACGTGAGTGAAGGCCCAGAGAGTCTCACAGTGCGGGTGTCACGTGAGTGAAGGCCCAGAGAGTTCCACAGTGCGGGTGTCACGTGAGTGAAGGCCCAGAGAGTCTCACAGTGCGGGTGTCACGTGAGTGAAGGCCCAGAAAGTTCCACAGTGCGAGTGCCACGGGAGTGAAGGCCCAGAGAGTTCCACAGTGCGAGTGTCACGTGAGTGAAGGCCCAGAGAGTTCCACAGTGCGAGTGTCACGTGAGTGAAGGCCCAGAGAGTTCCACAGTGCCACGTGAGTGAAGGCCCAGAGAGTTCCACAGTGTGAGTGTCACGTGAGTGAAGGCCCAGAGAGTTCCACAGTGCCACGTGAGTGAAGGCCCAGAGAGTTCCACAGTGCGAGTGTCACGTGAGTGAAGGCCCAGAGAGTTCCACAGTGCCACGTGAGTGAAGGCCCAGGGAGTTCCACAGTGCGAGTGTCACGTGAGTGAAGGCCCAGAGAGTTCCACAGGGCCACGGGAGTGAAGGCCCAGAGAGTTCCACAGTGCGGGTGTCACGTGAGTGAAGGCCCAGAGAGTTCCACAGTGCCATGGGAGTGAAGGCCCAGAGATCGCTGCCCATGGATTTGAACTTATTCCGGGGATGTAGAGGAGGAGATCTACAGTGAGGGAAAAACGTATTTGATCCCCTGCTGATTTTGTACGTTTGCCCACTGACAAAGAAATCATCAGTCTATAATTTTAATGGTAGGGTTATTTAACAGTGAGAGACAGAATAAGAACAACAAAATCCAGAAAAACGCATGTCAAAAATGTTATAAATTGATTTGCATTTTAATGAGGGAAATAAGTATTTGACCCCTCTGCAAAACATGACTTAGTACTTGGTGGCAAAACCCTTGTTGGCAATCACAGAGGTCAGACGTTTCTTGTAGTTGGCCACCAGGTTTGCTCACATCTCAGGAGGGATTTTGTCCCACTACTCTTTGCACATCTTCTCCAAGTCATTATTTTTTCGAGGCTGACGATTAGCAACTCGAACCTTCAGCTCCCTCCACAGATTTTCTATGAGATTAAGGTCTGGAGACTGGCTAGGCCACTCCAGGACCTTAATGTGCTTCTTCTTGAGCCACTCCTTTGTTGCCTTGGCCGTATATTTTGGGTCATTGTCATGCTGGAATACCCATCCACGACCCATTTTCAATGCCCTGGCTGAGGGAAGGAGGTTCTCACCCAAGATTTGACGGTACATGGCCCCGTCCATCGTCCCTTTGATGCGGTGAAGTTGTCCTGTCCCCTTAGCAGAAAAACACCCCCAAAGCATAATGTTTCCACCTCCATGTTTGACGGTGGGAATGGTGTTCTTGGGGTCATAGGCAGCATTCCTCCTCCTCCAAACACGGCGAGTTAAGTTGGTGACAAAGAGCTCCATTTTGGTCTCATCTGACCACAACACTTTAACCCAGTTGTCCTCTGAACCATTCAGATGTGCATTGGCAAACTTCAGACGGGCATGTATATGTGCTTTCTTGAGCATGGGGACCTTGCAGGCGCTGCAGTATTTCAGTCCTTCACGGCGTAGTGTGTTACCAATTGTTTTCTTGGTCACTATGGTCCCAGCTGCCTTGAGATCATTGACAAGATCCTCCCGTCTAGTTCTGGCCTGATTCCTCACCGTCCTCATGATCATTGCAACTCCACGAGGTGAGATCTTGCATGGAGCCCCAGGCCGAGGGAGATTGACAGTTATTTTGTGTTTCTTCCATTTGCGAATAATCGCACCACCTGTTGTCACCTTTTCACCAAGCTGCTTGGCAATGGTCTTGTAGCCCATGTCCCTGACATCCTTGGAGAGCTCTTTGGTCTTGGCCATGGTGGAGAGTTTGGAATCTGATTGATTGATTGCTCCTGTGGACAGGTGTTTTTTATACAGGTAACAAGCTGCGATTAGGAGCACTCCCTTTAAGAGTGTGCTCCTAATCTCAGCTCGTTACCTGTATAAAATACACTTGGGAGCCAGAAATCTTTTTGATTGAGAGGGGGTCAAATACTTATTTCCCTCATTAAAATGCAAATCAATTTATAACATTTTTGACATGCGTTTTTCTAGATTTTGTTGTTGTTTTCCTGTCTCTCACTGTTCAAATAAACCTACCATTAAAATTATAGACTGATCATTTCTTTGTCAGTGGGCAAACGTACAAAATCAGCAGGGGATCAAATACTTTTTTCCCTCACTGTAAGTCACCGACCTCGGGGTTTTTTTGTTAGAATGTAGAGGCGCAGTAGCCGCAGCAATTCCTGAATGTACAGTTTGTTCTCCTAGAACACGGATGTAGTTGCTTTCCTAAAGAACACCGCGTTATGGAAAAATCGTGTTATAATAAATGATATGTACTATAGGGGGTAAAGCACAGTCCGCGACAACGCGCGAGATTACGTACACAGGCCGAGCAAAGACCGAGGCTCGTGGGTAGGATCTAGAAGTATCCAGCAGCATCCCGCCTTGTGCGATGATGATGCTAGGCCGAGGCAGCCGTACAACCGCTTTTCCGTACTCGCACGACGCAGTTCCGTTCGCTCAGTCGCGTTATATCCAAGTCGCGTTATGAAAACTGCAAGCGTCTTAGGAGAGCGGTGCGTACACGGCTTAATTATATGCAAACACCATCTCTCTCTCCGTGGTCGCGTGGATTTTTCTCCGGGTCCTCCGGTTTTTTTCCCTACACATTTAGAATCAACATCACGCGTTTAGAGTGTTTGACTGCTGTAAATGTCCACGTGATTGGCCACTTCAATTGGGCTATCATCTGTGGCCAGGTCGCTTCTGATAAAGAGCTACATAGCTCAGTGGGCCTTACCTGGTGAAATAAAAAAAATAAACGTTTAGTTTAGTTTTTAGTTACCTCCGTGCACAAACAACCCCACGGTACAATGCCGACAAACCCAACCGTTACCTATGCAGCGATGGCCGCAAACCCCTGCCCGTGCTAACGGGAGTGCGATTGTCCAGCCGTTGCCTTTTTTTGTCACGTGTCTCATTACGTTTGTGTCTCTCTCTCTGTGTGTGTGTGTGTGCCGCTCTCTTTTGCAGGACGATGAAAGGGTAAGTGGCGACCTTGATAGAAAGCACGCAGTTTGCACGCCACGCAGGTAAGTGGGAGGCAGCCCCGACTCATTACGCCGCCAGGCAGTCGTTTACCTCCGACCTTCAAGGCCCCCGGGGATTTTAATTTGGAGGGGTTCAGTGGTTTAGAGTTGACCCTCGATCGTTGCGTCACAGCATCGCGAGGGGTTGGCGGTGGCATGATGAGGCCTCCATCCAGCGGTGGATTTGACGACGGCTGATGGTGATAATGACCATGAAGAGTTTGCCTTCCACCCCCCTTACTCCGCAAATTAGAGGGCCTCTAGCCCACGACGGTGCCCACCCGTGATGTCGGATGGCCTGATTCAATCTGGCAGGGCGGCTCAATTTATATTCCACCTCTATCGGTGTTCCCTGCTCATGGGAAGTGCCAATTTGCGTGTTTCATCATTCTCCACTGGTGCCAATGTCGACTACAGTAGATGGCGTTCCTCCTGTCGGGTCAAGTTACAAAGTAGTCCCACATGCAAAGGGTTGCCTTTAAACAAAAAACAAAACTAGGACATTGGTAACATCGGGCGGTAATTGCTTACAGCTGAATAACAATGCTCTGGGTTTTTGGACAAGTTCCTTATATAGTGATAACATCTCCCAACAAATACCTCTTCCCCCCGTAACTACATTCTCAAAGTTATTTCATTAAATTTTTTCCCCCGAAAAGTTATTTAAAAACCACTGCAATAATTTGTTTTATTTTTATTTTTTTAATTGGGGGTGGGGGGGGATGTGGGGACGTTATTTTGGAATTGTGACTCACGTTGTGGGAAAGGCCACACGGTATTTAAAAGGACCCTGTGCCCGACAGAGGCATCCCTTGTGTTCCAAATGCCACTCATGTGCCACGGGCCAATGCCACGGCTAGACTGGTGGGGGCGGGGGGGCAACCTCGGGACTTGAATGATCTTGTTCCAATTTGAAGAGGGGAAACTTTCACGTCACTCCAGCCCCGTCTGCGGAGAGTGGTAGTGCAGCGGCTAGGGCGCTGCGCTACAAATACCCAGACAAACCGAGTTCGATCTCCCGCTCGTGGCCACCACCAGTGATGATTATATGAACCAGTCCCGGGCCTCCCCTAGGTCGACTCAGCCTGAACTGAGTACCTGCTGCGGTGTGTAAATGCCGCCACTTGGGAGACAAAAGGCGGCCGGGCACGGTGTTGGCCGCCCACCCCCTCGGCCTATATAGGTGCTGCTCGCCAACAGCACTTGCACCAACAGTCCGTTGAGGCTACACGTGCGTGGGGGTAATCTTTGTCTCATGTCTGTGCCAAGTTTCAGGGCAGAGGCGCTCCTCTATTTTAAGCTCCTTTTCAAACATGAACGGAGGCATCACGGGAGAACGAGCGCGACCATTGTGCCAGAACCCTGGCTCGCAATCCTCGCAGCCTGTGCAATTATCAGAGCGCTCACTTGGCCTGTCGTAAATCGCTGCCAGGTCCCCCCCCCCCCCCCCCCCCACTGCGACAGGATGCCGGTAACGTCGCGGCAGGATCGTTCGGGTTGCCGGCCTCGTTTAACTTCTGGGATGCGCGGGCGAACATTGAGCACGCTTGCCAAAACGTGCCAACAAGCAGCGTCCGTGAACAGTTTCCCCCCACTCACCCCCCCACCCCCCCCCCCAACTCCTATTTAGGTTCGATTCGGACCCATTGTTTTTTTTTTTTGCCCGGTATCAAAATGATGAAAGGCAGAAGAAGAAGATAATTGGCTTTCACCTTTTCCGGCAGGAATACGGGATGTTAAGATGTTCAAACGCCAAATAAACACACGCCTATTATCGCGAGGCATCCAGTCTGTATTAACCACGCACGCTTGTGATGAAACACGCAAACAAACATGCCTTGAGAATGTATACATTGTCCTTGAAACTGATTGGCCTACACCAGAGACAGCCTCCTGCCAATAGGCGAACAGCCGTTCACCTTTTGGCATTCTTCGGTCCAACGGTGGTGAGGCAAGGCCGTAACGGAGGCTCTCTCTGGTGTAAGCCATCACCACTCTCGTGGGCGACAGGGTGGTGCAGTGGTTAGTAAAATTGCGCCTCACAGCCACCAGGACCTGGGTTTGATTCCCTACCCGGGTGCCTTTCTGCACGGAGTTTCTATGTCCTCCCAGTGTTCTGCCAAGGGTCTCCTCCAGTTTCTCTGGTTTTCCTGTTATATCCAAAAAAACACACACACACGCACAATGTAACTGGTATTGGACAAACATCCCAATGATGAATAATTACCTGCAAATTCCTAAATGCTGATCACACACAGCAGCAGCAGCAACGTCACCCCCCTCTATTGCAAACATTTGTGCAGGACGCTCCTATAAAAGAATCCGTAAGACTCAGTCAGGCTTTCCTCTAGATTCATTCCCTCTAGAGCCCCTCTTGATTCCTTCCTTCTAGAGCCCCTCTAGATCATTCCCTCTAGAGCCCCTTTAGATTCCTTCCCTCTAGAGCCCCTCTAGATTCATTCCCTCTAGAGCCCCTCTATATTCATTCCCTCTAGAGCCCCTCTTGATTCCTTCCTTCTAGAGCCCCTCTAGATTCATTCCCTCTAGAGCCCCTCTAGATTCATTCCCTCTAGAGCCCCTCTTGATTCCTTCCTTCTAGAGCCCCTCTAGATCATTCCCTCTAGAGCCCCTTTAGATTCCTTCCCTCTAGAGCCCCTCTAGATTCATTCCCTCTAGAGCCCCTCTATATTCATTCCCTCTAGAGCCCCTCTTGATTCCTTCCTTCTAGAGCCCCTCTAGATTCATTCCCTCTAGAGCTCCTCTAGATTCATTCCCTCTAGAGCCCCTCTAGATTAATTCCCTCTAGAGCCCCTCTAGATTCATTCCCTCTAGAGCCCCTCTTGATTCCTTCCTTCTAGAGCCCCTCTAGATTAATTCCCTCTAGAGCCCATCTAGATGCATTCCCTCTAGAGCCCCTCTAGATTAATTCCCTCTAGAGCCCCTCTAGATTTATTCCCTTTAGAGCCCCTCTTGATTCCTTCCCTCTAGAGCCCCTCTAGATTCATTCCCTCTAGAGCCCCTCTAGATTAATTCCCTCTAGAGCCCCTCTTGATTCATTCCTTCTAGAGCCCCTCTAGATTAATTCCCTCTAGAGCCCCTCTAGATTAATTCCCTCTAGAGCCCCTCTAGATTCATTCCCTCTAGAGCCCCTCTAGATTCATTCCCTCTAGAGCCCCTCTTGATTCCTTCCTTCTAGAGCCCTTCTAGATTCATTCCCTCTAGAGCCCCTCTAGATTCATTCCCTCTAGAGCCCCTCTAGATTCATTCCCTCTAGAGCCCCTCTTGATTCCTTCCTTCTAGAGCCCCTCTAGATTCATTCCCTCTAGAGCCCCTCTAGATTAATTCCCTCTAGAGCCCCTCTAGATTCATTCCCTCTAGAGCCCCTCTAGATTCATTCCCTCTAGAGCCCATCTAGATTCCTTCCCTCTAGAGCCCCTCTAGATTCATTCCTTCTAGAGCCCCTCTAGATTAATTCCCTCTAGAGCCCCTCTAGATTCATTCCCTCTAGAGCCCCTCTAGATTCATTCCCTCTAGAGCCCCTCTAGATTCCTTGCTTCTAGAGCCCCTTTAGATGCCTTGCCTCTAGAGCCCCTCTAGATTCATTCCCTCTAGAGCCCCTCTAGATTCATTCCCTCTAGAGCCCCTCTAGATTCCCGGTGATTTCCAATGCTGCCGTCAGACGCGTAGCGAATGGTGCATTCCCAGGTAAACTGCGCACCTCTGTGCAGGCAGGCAGAGAGAAGCGGCCGCGTCCTGTGTGTTTGCAGCATTGGTGATGTTGTGGATGATGCTGTTCTGTCTGGGACCATGGGGTGAATGTGGTGGATGTGGTGGGGGTGGTGTCAGAGGTGTCGGTGGTGTCGGTGGTGTGAGTTTAATGTGTGGGTAATGTGGATGGTGGGGGTGGTGGGTTGTGCAGGTGTTGTGAATGGGAGGTGTTGTTGGTGTAGGTGGGTGGGTGGTGTGAGTGTGGGTGGGTGATGTGAGTTGTGTGGGTTGTGTGGGTGGGTTGCGTGGGTGGCGTGCGTGGCTCACGTAGGAATGTAAGCCAGCCGCCTGCTGGTTGCTGGGTCGTTGGGAAACACAAATAAGTAACCTTGCTTTGGAAGAACTGGCCTATTCCCCGAACAGTGGGACAACTTCCTGACGGACAAAAACACACGGGACTTTAAAATTACAGCGAGATAGAATAATAAGCAACATTTACTCTGTTTGTCTAAAGGGGTCCTGCAGAGGGGTGTTACTGCCAGTCAAACACAAACATTTTTTTCCTTTGACGTCTTAAAATCTTCACTCCCACCACCCCCACCCCATAATTATCCTCCAAGTGTGTTTTTGACATCGAGATTAAATACAAATTAAAGTTAAGCATGGAGCTTCAGGGCTAGGAGTGCATCGTCATTATCATCATCATCATCGCTTTGGGATCAATAAAATAGGTATCACATTGCCGGGAAAGCCAGTGGTGGATTTCCAATGAATGAGTAATCGCCGCCATATGAATGTGGAATTCCAGGGTTATAAACAAGAGGTGAGTACTGCTCCATGCTAAGCTGAGTAGAAAATCCACTCGTAGGTTTTTTTTGTTTAAACTAAAACTATAAACTAATCTTTTCTTTCTACCTTACTTTACATAAATAACTCAAGAGTAATTCCCGCAGTTATGAAAGCTTCAAATCAAGATTAAACTAAACTATTTTTTTTATTTTACCAGGTAAGGCCCACTGAGCTATATAACTCACTTTCAGAAGTGACCTGCCCAAAACTGATAGCTCAACGAAGTGGCTTATCACGTGGAAATTTACGGCAACCAAATACACTAACAGCGTTTTTTCTAACTGTGGAGGGAAAAACCGGAGAACCCGGAGAAAAATCCACGCACCTACAGGTAGAGAGAGAGAGAGATACACGCAAACTCCCAAATTTACAGCAGGCGTCAGGGTCGGGATCGACCCCGCGATCTCCTGCACACCAGGCGTGGTAGTTAACACCTCGCCACCGTTTAAATGGCGATATCCGAGTGCTGACGGTGCTCTCCGACCCCGTGTCCGATGCATTGTCCCCTGTGCCGCGTGCCCCTCTGTGTGCGTGCGTGTGTGTGTGTGCGTGTGTGTGTGCGTGTGTGTGTGTGTGCGTGTGTGTGTGCGTGTGTGTGTGTGTGCGTGTGTGTGTGTGTGCGTGTGTGTGTGTGTGTCCGTGCGTGTGTGCGTGCGGGCAGTGCGAGGGCGACCGCTTGCCACCAGCCCAGGCGCCGCCCTGCACGTGCCCCCCAGGACCCTCAGGGCCCCCCGGGACACCGGGAAAGAAGGTGAGACGCGCGAGAAAATTCCACCGTGAGCACCCCCGGGGTCTGTCAGATCCACGGAAGCCAAACAGGCAGAATGAGCCTGGCGTGTGCATGGGTGGGCAACCACCGTGAATAAGAGGGCGTAACGGGCTGTGGAGCTACGCCTGAGTACAGTCTGTTCGCCCTAGAACGCGGTAGCAGTTGCGTTCCTGAAGAACCGAGTTATGGAAAAGTCGCGTGATAATGAATGATATATAATCTAGGGGGTAAAGCACAGTCCGCGATAACTCGTGAGATGTGCAATGCAGGCCGAACAAAGACTGTGGTGCGTGGGTAGCATCTAGAAGCATCCAGCAGTATCCCAGCGCCTTGTGTGATCTGACCGCTCATTCCTATCCGCGTGACGTGGTTCCATTCACTCGGTCGCGTTGTATGCAACCGGCATCCGCGTTATAAAAAATGTTCCTGCCGAATACATTCGTCGCCTTACACATCCAATTCGCGTTGTGAAATTACCGCGCGCGTTCAGTTCATTTCAGTTCAGTTTATTTTGGTATAGCCCTGTGAGCCATTCGGCTCTTGAATCGGGTGCAACCACAACAAACAAAAAACAAAAACACGAACAAGAAAAACATCTTAAAGTGACTATGTGACTGTGCAAACAGAAAATCCATGGAAAAAAACCAGCAAAATATTCCTGAAGAAAGCACCGTACACCAACGCTGTGTGCAAAAAATCCCAGTGGGATGCAAGTCAAACAACAACAACAACAACCACAAGAAAACTTAGATTAAGGCCATCAGTCTAACTCCGTACTACAACATAACAAACATGTCCAAACCAAAAAGCTTTTCGAAATCACCAAAAAGTAAAGCCATAATTGCAACGTAACAGTGATCATAGGGACTGTGACCGAATTTTTTACAATAAACTACATAAATAACATGTAAAGGAGATTGGACTCTACTTCTAAGGTTCAACATGCGTGCTCCCCGCCATTGCCAACCCGCACTGACTCATGCGGTGAAGTATGGCCACAGTACCCCCCACATATATTTAACCTGGGGTACGTTCATAATAAAAAAAAATACGTTAATATTGACCCGTACGTGATCAAATCAATCGTCCTCGATTGCCACAATGGCAGGGAGTAGCGTGATGCCTATCACGTAGGTTTCTGCGACCAATGTTAGCCATAACAGAGGGGTTGTTTTTTTGGGTCAGATCCCGTAATTACGCGATCTCACCTCAAAAGCCTCTATTGTGGAACGTGATGCATCTCCGCTCGGGATGGCCTCCAAAGCCCAACTCCATGGGACGACCCGAACATTTTCCTCCGATGCAAGTAGCTCAAAGTGTGTGTGGGGTGGGGGGACTCTCATCCAGCAATAGAGCGACACGAAAGAGCTCTCACATCGCCCATCGCCATCGTTGGGGATCCTGCACCTCGTCGGAGGTCTGTGTTCATTGCTTTCGCCTCCTTGCGGTTGGTTGACATCCTGCCAAGTCTCCTTGGCAGGGGGGGGGGGTGGCGAGGGAGGGGGGGGATTGGAGAGGGGGTTCAAGCCAGAGCATGTGGAGTTCTTATATGAGAGGCACGCACGTCTTGTTATGTAATTCCTTTGCCGTTCGGATCACTTTGAATGTGTTCACGCTACGCTTCGGCTTCACGTTATGTGGATTCCTTTTTCCCCCTAGAGCGTATTGTTACATAACAAATTACTACTTGCACGGCGGTGAGAGGACGCCGCGGTGGCGAGATGTTAACTACCTCGCCTGGTAATGCAGGAGGTCTTGGGTTTTATCTCCATGGTCGCGTGGATTTTTCTCCAGGTCCTCAGGTTTTTTTTTCCCTCCACGTTCAGAATCAACTTCGCGCGTGCAGAGTAATTTGGCTGCCGCTATAACTGTCCACTCGATAGGCCGCTTCGTTGAGCCACCATCAGCGGCCAGGTCGCTCCTTAAAAAGAGCTGCAAACCTCAGGGAGCCTTACCTGGTCACAAAAAAATATATATAGAGAGTTAATCATCATACTTAGTCATCCTCCGTTTGTGCCACCACGTTTCGATCGCGTCTGTAGGGCTGCAGAATTATGCAGTATTTATTTAATTATGTTACCTCTCGCTCACTTCGTCAAGAGTGAAACGAGCAACGATGGGCAGTTTGCTCAGCTCCCGTCTACAGTCCTGAGCGGGAGGCTGAAGTTGGAAATCCCACGTTACTGTGGTGAGGCTCCGTTTCTTGTGGAGTGACTCATGCAGCCAGCTATGGCTCTAGGGTTTGTGTGTTATATGTTATTTATGTAATTCATTGTAAAAAAAAATCGGTCACAGTCCGTATGATCACTGTTATATTGCATTTATGGATTTGTTTTGGTGATTTCGAAAACGTTTTTTGGTTTGGCCATGTTGTTGTTTATTGTAGTACGGAGTTAGACTGATGGCCTTAATCTTAGTTGTCTTGTAGTTGTTGTTGTTTGACTTGCATCCCACTGGGATTTTTGCACACAGCGTTGGTGTACGGTGCTATTTCAGGAATATTTAGATTTTTTTTCCTGTATTTTCTGTTTGCACAGTCACATAGTCACTTTAAGCTGTTTTCTTGTTCATGTTTTTGTTTTTTTGTTTGTTGCGGTTGCACCCGATTCAAGAGCCGAATGGCTCACAGGGCTATACCAAATAAATGAAACGATGAACTATGAACTATGCCTTTGGGGATAAACGGCAAACTCCAAATCGCTCCCTGGGCGATACACCTGTTGCGAGGTGTCTGGTCAGAGTGGACGAGTAGGCCCAAGTAAGTTGCCTAGAAAGGGTATTTTTTATTTAAAGCTTTCGTGACTGCAGGGATTCATATTCTTGGTTCTTTCGGTAAAGTCACGTAGAAGGGAAACAAAATAACAAAAAATATAAAACAATAAAAACCACAGCAAGGTAATTGTCTTGCTGTGGTTTTCACACCTGATGATGATTGCTTGTGTTGCAGTCGAAACGTCGTGAGAATGTTATTGTTTTATATATATATTTTATATTATTTTATTGTTTCCCTTCAACGTGACTTTACCGAAAGAACCAAGAATAGAAAGGGTCTCTTCAGAGCTCCCTCTAGCAGAGGCCATTCCGTTCAGCGAGCAGTGGCAGTAAGCAAGCAATTGCGAGGCCGGACCTTCCCCCGTCACCTGGGGACCTGGGCGGATGCTCGCGCAATGCATTGCCAACGCTTGGTACTGTGTCAACACAGCGCTGCTATGATTGACTTTTGTTGATGAAATTTGAGAACTTTTGTCCGATTTGAATGTATTAACCCATCGCTAAATCACGTTAAGTAACCCACACTGATCGAAATGCATTGCCTGTCTTTAAAAAAAATATAACGCTGGAGGCGAATATTGTGGTAAGTAATGGAATGGGGGGGGGGGGGGGGAATTGATTTGCATTATTTAGAAGACCTGGGTCTAATTCCTGGCCGCACATGCCAGTAGCAATTTATCTCTGAATCTGGCTGGGAGTGGGTTCATATTTCAATGTAGCGGAGATGCAGTGCTAGCGCCAGTGACCAAATTACCATGAACACATTGGATATCGTCAAGATCCCAGAATATAAGCAGCCTGGAGCCTGGATAGTCATTGTATGATGGGTGGCCCACGCCAGGGCTCGCTTGGTGTTATAGGCGTGGGGCAGCGAGGTTTGGCCAGGCAATAATGAATCTTGCCTTTTCGTACGTGTGGTTGGTTTTCTCCGGTTTCTTCCCACTTGATTCCAAACAGTGATTCATGGAATTAGCCATTATTTTACCAGGTAAGAGCCCACTGTACTACACAGCTCTTTTTCAGAAAAGACCTGGACACAAATGATTGCTCAACGAAGTGGCTTATCACGTGGAAATGTATAGCGGCAGCCAGACGCTCTAAAAGCACGTTGATTCTAAATGCGGAGAAAAAAAACGGGAAGACTCGAAGTAAAATCTGTCCAATCACGAGCAGAGAGACACCGAAAACTCCAAATGTACAGCAGGTGTCAGGGTCTGAATCAAACTCAAGCTTCACATTGACTGTATTTTCACAAATTAGCGGAATCTTCAGAATTAGCGACAGAAACATTGCACGAGCGAATTCACCTTTTTATAGAAGCAACGGTTTACTGTCACCCACGCGGAGTGGGTGAATCCTGACATTTTGTCCGCGTTTGCGGAATCTTTTCACCGTCGTTGGTTTCCGCCCCAGCCACAATTCGAAAGGGCTCGCGTTGCCGCTTGGAACTTGCCAAGCGGGAGAATTGCGAAAACGTAGAAATATTTGCATTTTTATTTTCCTCCACGTTTTTTTACGAGAAGGGGGGGGGGGGTCCTCGTTTTGGCGAAAGAAAAAAAAATCTAAAGTTTGCGAACTTGCGGCCGAGACAGTGACACGAATCGGACCCCGGGCGTGTTAAATCATCGCGCGTTCCCAAAGCTCGTCGACAGGGGCTTGCGTGGGGGCCTTCAACCTCGCGTTACGTAAGAATTGGCCCCCGGAGCCACGCTCTGCCACATTCACCCTACCACGAGGCAGAATTTATATATTTATATTTGTTTCTAAAATATTGAAGAAATCGTTAGTTCCTCCAGCAATGACGCGTGCGGGAGCTTGGCATGCGTGGGGGTGTCTGGGCGTGACGCCTCTCCGCCTTCAAAAATAAAATGTCCAGTTTGGGTTCTACGTGCCCTGGCTAGATTTTGAGAGCAGTGACTAGAAGTTTCCTTTATGCTGGCAGACAATTGCACATTTTGCTAATTTTTTTGCCTCTCATTATTATTATTATTATATGAACTGTATCTTCCCCGAAGAATGGATTCTTTAGCAGCGGTTGATGTCCGTGTCTGCGCGCCGACTGCGGTAGTGCAAAGGTTCGCGCACCGCGCAACGAACCCATTGGCCCGAGTTCGATTCCCACTCCTCACAAGACGATATCAGTGACGAATATCTGAACCGGTCCTGGGCCTAACCCTAGGTCGACTCAGCCTTAAATGAGTACCTGCTGC